CAGACCAGCTGCACTGGGAGCACACAGCCACCCCCCAGGACTCAATGCCTGAGAACCTGTCTGGGCTTTCCACTCCACCTCACCTCATTCCAAATTTATGCCCTTGGCTTGTGGAATTGGAAAAATCATTTCAGCTCAGATTTCTATGGCTTTTCTCTCTTTTCCCCCGCATTTCTTTTACCAGATCAAGAACAGTGCCAAAAGACGACCTCTCACTTGCTCAGAAAATCAACCTCCCACACCTTTGAGCTTTTCAAAATTTGAACTGAAATAAGAGAATTAACTTTGTTGAAAAGTCCCAGAGGGAATGAGTCCCTTTAGTATTCCCATTAAGTTGGATAAAAACGCTCCTCCTCTTCTTGTTCATATGATGCTACTGGTTCTCAGCCTGCAAGGTCGAGCCCAGCATCCTCCTGATGTTCTGCAAGGACCATTCTTGGCAAAAAGCAACTCCTCCGCTTCCTCCAGACCACACAGGGCACCCACCTGAGCTCCACAAAGCCGCCAACCAGCGCCAGGGAGATGAAGTCTTTGCCGCGGTTCTGGCCGTTGTAGAGCAGCAGCCCGCTGAGCTCCACGGCGCGGAACTCCATGGCGATGCGCACCGTGTGGTACGCCTTCATCATCTTGAAGGCCAGGTAGGACTTGCCACCAAAGCTGGGGATGAAGTACCTGATGGCTGTGAGAGCCGGAGAGGGTGGAAAAAGGAAGAAAAGATGAAGTAGAGGAGGGAACAGAAGGATGGAGAGCAGATAAAGGCCTGATACAACCCTGGGAACACTTTTGTACCCGTACAAGCTCTTGAAATGGCACGCAGCAGCTCACTCCTCTGGATCCACACTCCTGTGCAATTATCCCATCACCGCCTCCCAGACACTCATACTGATCACAACCGACCCCTCTCGTGATGGCATGTCCCCCAAAAACTGCTCCCAGGCTTTGACATCTTGGGTATTGCTCCCCCAGCACTGAGCATCAGTGGTGTCCCCATCAGCTCCTCCCAATTTCCTTGGCTGGAGCCCCAGGGTGGAACCCAACACTCCTGTGCTGTCCCTGCTTTTGTCCCTCACCCTCCTCCGGCTGTGAGCTCTGCCACCGGCACCGTGACACCTCCGAGACACGTACTTTTCTCGCAGACTGCTCCTCCTTTGCCGGCTGGGCAGCTGCAGGTGAATTCCTTCCCGTCATCCTCGCAGGTGCCGCCGTGCAGGCAGGGATGGGAGTCACAGGGTCGCAAGGGTTTCTTGGTGGTGGGGGGCTGGCGCGTGGGCTTGCGCCGGGTGGTGGCCGGGAGGGTGGAGGTGGGTCTCCTGGTGCTCCCAGCTCCTGCTGTCTTGGCGCTGGGTCTGCCCATGGGGTCTGGGTGCTGGACGTGGACGGTGGCGGCAGCGGCGGCCGTGGTGTACCTCCGGGTGGTGGCGGGTGCCATGGTGGTGGCCGTAGTGGTGGTCACGGTAGTGGTGAAGAGCCTGGGGATCCAGTCTGAAGCAGAGAAAAATGCGAATGGACGCTGGTGCTTTGCAACCCTCCCTGGGGCAGGGAAAGCCACCAGGCTTTTGGGGTGAGATGGCAGCAGAGAGGGTTGGATGGATGGCTGTCCCAGGCCACCACGCACCAAAAAGCTCAAGACCCCTCTTCCCCTCCACTCTTTGGCCCCAGGGCTCCCGCTGCACAGGGGACATGTCTGCACGGGGCTCTCCTCCCCAGCACTGCCCGTCCTCCCACCCTGGCGCAGAGCTGTGTGCCCAGGGCACACCTGGCCATGGGCCTTTTGTTCCTGGAAAATCAGTGTTTCGGGTTTATCAGTATAAAACTAAGGAAGAAATTCTTTCCTGTGCGGGGGGTGAGGCAGTGGCCCAGGTTGCCCAGAGCAGCTGTGGATGCCCCATCCCTGGAGGGGTTCAAGGCCAGGCTGGATGAGGCTTTGGGCAACCTGGGCTAGTGGGAGGTGTCCCTGCCCATGGCAGGGGGTGGCACTGGATGGGCTTTAAGGTCCCTTCCAACCCAAACCATCCTGTGATTCTGTGATTCTATGACTGCATCCCACGTGCTGCGGGAGAGGGGAGCAATATCCCCCCTTCCTGAGTTGAGCACAAGTCTGGGCACGTGGACTAACCTCTGAGCCCTGGCTCTGGAGGACAGAGCGTGGGGAAGCATTTGATGGGTTATTGATACAGATGACAGCCCTGGCAAGCCCAGAAGAGCCAGGCTACTCGTCCAAAAGCCTAAACCAAGAGGGGAGGACTGACCGCAGAGAGGGGAACTCACCAAAGTCCATGAATTTGACGTGTTCCTGCTGGGGCTTCTTCACCAGAATGGTCGTCTTCTTGGATGCTTTGATCTGCTTCAGCAGGGCCCCTTGGACATCAGCTGCCGTGTAGGAAGTGGCTGATGGGAGCCAGGAGGAGAAAGGAGAGAGGGAAGAGTGAAGATGCACACCTACCCAGCAGCTTCCCTCTCATGACCTCCCTGGGATGCATCCAAATCATCCCTTTCCTTAGGAAAATGCTTCCAGCCTTCCAGGCACCAGCTCAGGGTGCACCTCCTCCCAGAATCTGTTGATTTTGCTGGGCAGAAGACACATCCCCAGCAAATTTTGATAAGGTTCCTTCATGCTCCCCGCAGCATGGGTGCTTCTCAGGCCAGGGAGCGCCTGCTCCCTCCTCGGGCAGGTGGTGATGCCCCAGTGAATCAGCAATGGGATGGCTCTTACCTGGGTCGAAGTGGGCCTCCACAATGACACGGACAGCGCTGCTCTGCCCCAGGTCTCGGACACGGATGCTCTTGAAATCCTTCTTAACGTCAGAGTTGCGGAAAAGCTCATCCAGCTAGTTGGTGGGAGGAAAGATACTGATTAATGGGGAGATCCTAGGACCCAGGTCCTTTTGGTAACGGATCTTGAGTCTCAGCCACTCTCCTTGGTTTCATCCCACAGGGGTTTGCATCCAAACTTTTGCAAGACATCCCACTGAGACATGGAACAGGGCTCCGTTGGGTAGGGTGATATTTTCAGATGGTCCCTGTTCTTCAAAGGTAAGAACAGGATCCAGACATAGCGTGGGGGAAGGAGCTATCCCCCTGGTACCCGTGGAGGAGAGAGGAACAGAGCCAGAGCAGAGCCACCTTGCAGTTCATCCAAGGATTTTCTAGTGTGTGGCAACTAAGTCTTACTGATCTCTTCTAAAGCCGTGTAAACCTGCCTAGGCACTCTGGAAAATCTCATAAGGCGCCGTTCTGCATCTTTAAGTACCTGGCAGCCTTTTCAAACTTGGCTCTCTGACATCGCAGGATTTGTCTGAAGGAGACAGTGACAGTCCAAGACTTGACAGCAAGTCAGGGCTTTACCACCCCTGCCAGCTATCTGTCCAGCCTCACGCTGGATTGTCATTGTCACAGCTAGGACCACCACTTCCATCCCTCGGCTTCAAGGCAAAGACAGCAGAAAGTCATTAACTGACTGATGGTATAGTCTCCCCTATAAATTCGGGCACAGTGACCTCGGAGGGGTAAAGGAGCTCATCCCGTACATGGGTATTTGCAGGGAGGTCGCATGGGGACAACAGGTCTCCGCAGCACAGGGCTGCGGCCGGAACCCTCAGCCCAACCCCACAGGACAGAGGGTCTGAGCCATGCCTTTATTCTCCCAGCCCTGGGAAAACACAAACCAGCAAAGTCTCTTGCCTTCTCGAGATGGGAGAACCAGTGAAGGAAGCTTTTGTGCGCGTGTTTGCACCCTCAGCCAGAAGCCACTGTTGTACAGGGAAATATTGCTATTGTGATGGAGAGCCTCACGGACCATATGGTCCATATGGCAGGCGCACAGCTGCTTATATGACTGTGCTGAGGGCTTGCCAACTTCTAAACGCAGCTTGGAACCAAGCTCGATATATTTAAATCTCCTTGCAGAGATGCTTTGTGTTTGCTGTGCCACACTGCAGGCTCCAGTACAGCGGCGCTACCTCGCCCAGTGCTTCCTTGGCACACCCACACGTACACATCGCCTCGCAAAGCCCCTGTACGCCAGGAGCTGGCAACGCAGGGGGTTCTCCTAAAAGGTGGGAGACTGGATTTACACAAGCGGCTTCCCAAACTGTGTAGCTGAACTGCAGCGGCAAAGGGGCGGCTTAGGACATGTTTGTGGAGATGAGGATACTTTGGGAAATCCAGGGCGTCGAGGCAGAACGTCTTGTGTAGAAAGCCCCAACATCAAGAACAAGCCAAAAAAGGATAATTTTTGACCCAGCACATAACAAAGGATGGAACCCACTGACACAGCACGTGCTAGAGGCTTAAAAAAAAAGATTGGACAAATTGACAGAGGGCACCTCCTACATAGAACTGGGGCATCATCTCCTAAGTGCCCACCCCATGAAAGCGCTGGCCCTGGTGACAAGCCATGGTCACTCCCAACTTTTGTGGGTTAAGCCCACCTCAAAAAAACCCCAAAAAACAAAAAACCATGGAGCAATGCTTCTCCAAAGCATTCAACCCATTTTGCAGATAGGTCTCTATGGTCTCATTTGACAGATGGCAACGATGGTCCCCCGAGAAACCATTGTGAATGAGAAGGTGAAGCAGAAGGAAACCCAAAGTGGTTCCCATGGTGGGACAACAGAGCATCTGCAGTTGTGGTGGTGGTGGCACAGGGCTCAGAAAACAGACAGCTCTTGGTCCCTGTCTAGTCATCTGTCCACCACAATGCAGAGGGAGGTGGGCAGGGTTCTCTCTTCTTTTACCAAGGCCAGAAGAGCCCCATCCAGCCCCTAGATCAAGCACAAAGGACTCACCGCACTCTCAATGCTCCTGGCCGTCTCCCCAAAGAGCTCTGACTTGGGGTCAGCCATCTCCGGCGTGTAGAACAGCTCCTGGCCTTCCACCTCCTCCAGGATGAGGACTCCCTGGAAGACTTTGGTAGCTATGGGAGGGAGGGTAAAGAAGACAAAACGCCTTTAGTGGGCTTGTGGGCAGGGGACGGGTGTGTGGCTGACAGCGTTCGAGTCCCTGGGGGGGGAAAGGGTGATGGCAGTGTGCGGGTAGTGCCAGTGTTGGGGTTAGTCTGGATGGGGCTGCGAGAGCGCCATGGAGGATTAGTATCAGAAGGTGCTGGAGCAGATGGCAAAAACCAGGCTGGAGATGGCAACTTTTACCAGACGGTTTCCTCTGAGCTCCGGCCCGGAGAGCAGCCCCCCTGCACCGGCTGAGTAACAAGAGAAAGACGTTAGCCAGAGCAGCACACAGTCAACACGGCAGGATCAGACCCCGGCATGCAAAAGGGGCAGAGGAGGGCGAAACGCGGACTCTGGCCAAGGAGAAGACCTGTCCCAGAAGAGCTGTTCTTTCATGGGTTAAAAGGGGAATATGGCATCCAGAGGAAAAGGGGATGTCCTGCGGGGAAGCCCAAGGAACAGGGGCAGGTAAGAAGGACCTGGGTGAGTACTGAGGAAACACCTGGGAGATGGCCCCAGATGAATATTCAGTTTTTAGGGTAACGAGGATGGATGTGCACGGCAACAAATATTCTGACCGAGCACAGGGGATCTGTGTTTCCTCAACACAGTCAGTGTGAGTGGGCAAGACAGATCCCACCTGGGTCACGAGAGCAGTGCACACCCCTGGGAACCACGGTGGGGGTCAAGAAAGCTCAGAATCCCCAGGAAGCCCAGGAGGGACACTGGGGCTACAGCCCTCCCCCTCCTGCCCTGGTACTGAACTGGTCCTGGTCAGATTAAACAGGAATCCAGCAACTCCCTCATCCCCCCTAGTGCCAGTCCTGAGCTCTGCAGAAGCCTGGGCAAAACCCTGGTCAAGGTTTTAAGGCTGGAGCACTCAAGGAAGAAAGCAGTCATCTAAACGAAGAAAACTGCCGTGCCCTGGGCTCCTGGGTGATGGGCAGCACCCACCGAGCTCTAGGGATGCTGCTGGGGGCTGCGGCAGGGGGCACAACGTGTGCCAGCTGCCAGGGCTCAGCACGTCCCCATGAACACCCCCTTGGGGACACCCCAGCCCCTCGGATGGACACTGGAACCGTGCTCGCTGCCAGCCAGGCAAGCCCAGAACCCTGTGGTTCTCCCCGCCTGGCAGCTCTCGGAGGCATCGCTCATGCTCCTGCGCCCTGCGAGAGCCCCGTCTGAGTCCTGACCGCTGAAAGGGACCCAGAGCCCAGCCCTGGGGACAAACTCACCCGGACAGTTGCTGCCTTCTGCATCAGCAGCCGCGGTCTTGCCGTCGGAGCAGCATCCCAGCGGGGTGTTGTAACACGTCGCCCTCTCGATGGCTGGGGTTGAGGTCACCTGGCTTTCCTCCACCTCCTCTTCCCCTGCAGGGCAGTAAGAGGAGCGATCACCAGCAGGAGGTAAGACCTCACCTCTGCGTTCAAGAACAAGGCTGAGACACGGCTTCATCTCGCCGGGAGAGATGGTTTAGCTCCCAGCCGACCCGCCAAGCCTAAGCAGCGCACACTCACCGGCAGAGCCTGCCCCGCTGGATTCCTGGTCCCCACTGGCGCCCATCTCTTGGTCTCCGCTGCCTTCTGCGCTGCCCGATTCAGCGTAGGCGGGCTGGGTGGTGGCCAGGACCACCGGCGCGGTGGAGAGCGGGCGGACAGTTGTCTTATACACCCCGTGGGTCATCCAAGGCGTAGTGGCCGGTCTGGCCGTTGTGATGCGCCGTGTTGTAGGGTGAGCTCTTTCAGTAGGCTTGGCTTCCAACAGCAGGGAGCTGGTAGCCAGCTCGGTGGGTTCCGGAGCCCGGGTGGTAAGCCGCAGCGGTGGAGGAAGGATTAACTTGTCCAAGGGCAGCGTGGGCAGCGGTGTGGGTGGTGAGGGGTGGCTTGTGTGAGTGATGGACTCTGAAAGGAGCAGTGAGACGGGGCAGGTAAGGAGAGGCAAGACTGGGAAAGGCTGGCTGGGTCACTGGGAAGCCAGACCTGAGTCCAGCATTAGGCCAGAGAGCTGGCACTGTCCCAGCACCGCGAGCCGCAGACGCTCACCATGGCACTGCCCCACGTGCTTCACCGTGATGACCTGTCCCTGCCGGCAGGCGATGGTCTGGAGCTGGCACTGGTCCCCGTAAGTGACACCATCAGAGCCACACACCTGGGAGGCAGAGGGGAAAGGTGAGCTGCACCTCTGCCTTCCTCCAAGCCCCAAGCAAAATAAATCAGTCTCTAAATTCTGGGAGCAGAGGCTTTGCAGGGGTCCCCCTGTGGCAAAGAGGTGATGGTCTGCACAGAGGGATCCAAGGGTGGGCTGGGGAAGCCCAGGAGCAGCTCCGAGGTGCCAGATGGGGCACAGAGCACCCAGCTCTGCCGGGACACCTCTATGACCCACATGTCCCCCTTCCCCATGCACTGAAGATGGTGACTGATCCTCCCCATCTGCTTTTCTTGGGGGGGAAGAGCCATCAGACACCCGTGACGCCTGCAGCAGCCCGACACAGCCCACCCATCCCCGCATCCCGCTCAGCCCCCCATGGCCACCCCCCATGGCCATCCCCCATGCACACCTTGGTCATGTTGGCCTCCGAGCAGAGCGGGGACGGGCACTCGCAATGGGCAAAGCCGTTGACTTCCACGCACGAGGCCCCAAACTCGCAGCTCATTTCCTC